TAGAAAAAAAAGGGAAAAAAAAAAAAAAAAAAAAAGAATTAAAAAAAAAAAAAAAATAAAAAAAAAGAAAAAAGACAAGGAAAAAAAGAAGAAACAAAAAAACCAAGAAAAAAAAAAAAAAAAGAAACAAAAAATTAAAATAAAAAAAAAAAAAATACCAGAAAAAAGAAAAATTAAAAAAAGAAATTAAAAAGACAAAAACAATAAAAAATAATAATAGAAGAAGATAGGGGGGGGGGGGGTTTCCAGCCTTCCTCTTTGCCAATGGGCTTTGCTCATATGCTAAGCCTGTAACCCTTGTCTAAAGCTTCTGAACCTTCCTTATATAACCCCTTGTTGGTACTTACTTGTTTGTTTCTTACAGAGAACTGCAGCCATGCATTGGAGCAAGAAAAATAAACCCTTATCCATCTTTCTCAATGCTATTGTCCCAGCAGCTAGCATGTCTATGACCACAATCTATAAAAGTTAAAATATCAACAAAAATGAACATATTTAGAAGCAGGAATTAAGAAAATTGCATAGAATTTTAGTTTTAAGTTGTGAGAGAATTTAGCATAAAATAATGCTGGTGTTTTGTACCAACAGAAAAAAAATGATTTATTAACAAGTTAGTAGTTTCAACCACCTAACCAAAAGCTAACCCTGGCTATAGTCACGGTGTTTCCTGGCTGGCTAGGGTTGGGACAGAGTGGGAAGCAAGAGTTGGGGGAAGGCTGTACATATTCCTAGCCCCAGAATGGGGGGGGTCTTATCATCTGACACAAATGATTTTTTTGTGTGTGAGGAAGGGTGTCATGTAGCCAGGGTGTTGTTCTCAGACTCACTATGTGGCCAAGTGCTGGCCTTGAACTCTGTATTGTCCTGCTTCTACCTCCCAAAGACCAGGATTAAAAGTACGAGTCACCTGAGGGAGAGGGAAAGATGCTCCCCCTTCGCCCCTTGGCCCTTGGCACCTGTGGTAGACAGAGAGCTGACCCTGCCCCTCACCAGATGTAGAACTTGGGAGAGTGGGCCCCGTACCTCTCCTGGGCAACACAGTAGAGGTGATCGCATTGATGGCATGGATGAGCGGACCCTGAGAATGTCAACGTGAAAGATGGAGCCCCGTCCCTTATCTACCAGATGGTGGTGTGGGCAAGAGAGGGAAGACCCTTCCACATGTCCCTCTAGGCCTATGGTTCATGGAAGAGCTGTCCCTGAGGTCACTAGAATGAGAGAGCTGGCTCTACCTCTCACCAGGTATAACACTAGGCAGAGTGACCCCTACACCACAAGTAGGCAACATAGCTGGCCCTGGTGTTGTAGGTTCAGGGGATTAAACTCCAGGACATGAGAGCAGGAGAACTGGCCCTGCCTCCTGCTGCTTACTACACAGGATGAGCTCTCTATAGCAGTACTGGAGAGCTCACCCTCATGCTGAGGATGAAGGAGAGCTGAAGCGATAATCAACCCAGCAACCAACCACCCAGACCCTGAACCAGAGCTATGAGTCGGTCCATCCCAATATCTGTCCCATCTATGACCTGTTGGAGCACATGAAGAGGCAGGTCCTGCAGACCCAAGGATCCCCATGACACAGGACAATGGCAGAATATCCAAGAGGACTCCCCGTGAAGGTCCAGTACTGGCGAGGCAACAAAAACCAGAGACCTCAAACCAGACCAGCAACTCAACGCCATGAACACTTGCAAATAACAATGTACAGACTGAAGGGCTGCGCGACTCACTGTGTACACTACAGCTTCTACAACGAGATTCTTCTTTTCTTTTTCTCTCTTCTTCTAAATTTGATTTTGTTTTATCCTGGAGGGGTGGTTGCAAGGTTGGAGGGCGGATGAAAAGGGACGGGGAGATGAGTGGGATCGAGATGCACAAAGAAGCGATAAAAAAGGAAAATTTGAAAAAAGAAAACAACACTGAAACACCATGTTCAAGACAGCGACCTGCACTCAGGACACTTGGGGAGGGGACCTAGATCATGTCACAGTGTCCTTTCCCTCAGTTAATGCTAGAGCAGAGCTCGCCGACCTCTTTTCGAGAATCCCTTCTACAAATGCCGTTAGCATCTGACGTGTGCCTTGTTCCGGCCTGGACCCTGGGTGTAGCAGCAACCAAAACCCACAAGGGCCCATCTTTGGTGGGGCTCTGAAAAGAGATAAACATAAATAAACACCAATGGTTGGGACTGGAGAGATGGCTCAGAAGTTAAGAGCACTTGTTGCTCTTACAGAGGACCTGGGTTCGGTTCCCAACACCTACATCAGGTGACTCACAACCACCTGTAATCCAGTTTTAGGAAGTCAGAGGTCTTCTTCCAGCTTCCACAGGCACCGAGAACACATGTGGTACACGTATACGTGCAGATTAAATGTCATACACATAAAAATTTTAAAGTATATGTTTAAAAATACCCTAAAAATAAAAAGCCTAAACACCTGTAGGTGTCTTAGTTAAGCAATTTAAAGACGTTTCAGGTGGGGCTGGTGGAACAGCTCTATATAATTGCTGCTACTCTAGAGGCTTGAGGCATCCTGGGCTACGGCATGAGTTCAAGGCCAGTTTAGGGAAAACAAGTGATCCAACTCAGCTGTAGGGGGCTGACCTAGCACCCAAGGCCCCCAATTTAATTCCAGATGCTGAAACAAAGGAAACAAAATAAAACAAACAACAACAACAACAAAAGCCTTGGGAAAACACAAAACTTCAGCATCTCAATGCAGAAAAAGGGTTTCTAAGCAAGAGAAGGTAGAGACTGACATATTCAGACACACTAAAACTCCACAATTTCCTCTCACGTAAACACCAACATATTCAAACACATTGAAGCTCCGCAATTTTCACTCATAGACATTTACACGCTCAAAGCAAAAACAGACAAAAGGCAAAATAAAATATTTTTAAAAACCTGATGAAAAACAGTTGTTCCACTTGGCAATGGCCTCAGTTTTACCATAAAGCGTTTTATGAATAGAAATGCAAAGACCAGTAACTCACCTAGAAAACAGGACATGCAGTCAGGTGGTGGTGGCACAAGCCTTTAATCCCAGCACTTGGGAGGAGGCAGAAGCAGGTGGATCTCCGTGAGTTCAAGGCCAGTCTAGTCTACAAGAGCTAGTTCCAGGATGACTAGGTCTGTTACACAGAGAAACCCTGTCTTGAAAATCCAAAGGAAAAAAAAGAGAGAGAGGAAGGAAGGAAGGAAGGAAGGAAGGAAGGAAGGAAGGAAGGAAGGAAGGAAGGAAAAGAACATGTACAAGAAAACAGAAGTCCACAAAATAGCTTTAAAGGAACTTAATATATTATTTCAAAGATATTAAATGAGGAACTATTTATCAAATCACCATTCTTCCTCTTTGAAATTGGCAGGAATGAGAAGTTGGATCGTGGGAATGCTGGCAGCATGTGGGAAGGAACACAGAGCCATTCTAGAGTGTCTGCTCTGTCTTTTCAACACAAGGCCCGTGGGTCAGCTGACCCTCAACTGTAGTCCAGCATTTTAATGCCTATGTAGAAGACAGCAACCACTAGAATTTTAAGTACCTGTGCCCTTCATAAGCGATCTCATTTCAAGAGTCAACCAATAGACAAATAAAATCAAAGGTGTAAGACATTAATACAGAAGACCGCAAACAATGATGGACTGGTTAAATAATGCCAAGTTTGTGCTTGTAACAGATTAGCATCTCTTTAGTATAGGAAACACACAAGGCAAGGAGCAAAATGCATCATGAAACCTTTTTGTTGTAGATACATATACCAGACCATAAGATAGATAGATAGATAGATAGATAGATAGATAGATAGATAGATAGAAAGAAAGAAAGAAAGAAAGAAAGAAAGAAAGAAAGAAAGAAAGAAAGAAAGAAATAGGGAAACTGACATGGGTGCATAGACCATTTTAGGAAGGATTCATAGACGCAAGCTTCTAGAAGGGACTAAGAGATCAGTAGGCTTACTTCTAATGATTATCTTTCTAGTGAAAAAAAAAACCTCACCCAAATCTGCAACTATAATTTTTTAAATTTAAAAACTATTCAGATTATAAAAATTGTAACCCCATACAACTCAACGTACCCATCAAAAATTATTTGAAATAAAATATCAACAGTAATATGAATAAAATGGGAACTTCAATATACTTGGTTAATGCCATGATGATGGTGGCGATGATGATGATGGGTTTTGAGACAGGGTTTCATTATGTAGCACTGGCTGTCCTAGAACTCAGTATACAGACCACACTGGCTCTGAACTCACAGAGATCTGCTTGCCTCTACCTCCCATGTGCTGGGATTAAAGGTGTATGCTTTCAAACTCAGCAATACTTTTGAGATATATCTATATCTACATATATCTAAACATAAATATATATAGAGAGAGATTTCTATAGATAGATATATATATAAGCCCACAAATCCAAGAATAACTTGTGACTATTGAGATGGATCTACAGGTAAAGGTGTCAAGGCTGACCACCTGAGTTTCATTCCTCCTCCTCGCCCCCCTAGATATACATATCAGGGGAGAATCAACTTGCAAGTTGTCCTCTGACCTGCATATGCTCTCTATGGCATGCACATGTTCATACACATACACAATACATACAACATACATACATATGTACATATACACAGAATTTAATTACGAAAAAAACTCATGCCAGGATGGGGGAGTACATGATTAAAAGACCAGCACTCTGGGAGTTGAAGCAAGATTGCTTCCAGTTCAAGACCAGTGCAGGCTATATAGCGAGACCCTATCTCCAACAAGAAGGGGGAGAGAAAGAATAATTCTTTCAACTATTAGAAGTGAGGTGAGCTTAACCTTTTAGCTGTGATTATGTAATTCAACTTAAAAGGTCTACATTTCATTTCTCTGGGCGTATTTTCTCTCGGATGGCCTGCCCATACAGCCTGGGTAGCTAAAGCCCATTCAGAACTATGGCCACTCCCTATCCATCCCCAACAGTGTATTCAAATCCAATGGCAAAGTTACTTATTAAACACAGGAGATATTATGCCCTGAGAAACCCATTATAAACTTTATCTGTGGGAGGCCTGGTCTCTTCCTGAAACCCAGGACAGCCATCTCAGAGAAGAGGAGATGGGGAACCGTCACGTAAGTATTCCCTGGCTGTGGGGATCAGTTTTCTGTTTGGTTAGCCTGTGAAAGAATTCATCTGTGAACTCATGATTGATATCCTCATGCTTCATCGCTTTGGTGCCCCCAAAAGCTGGCTTAAACAAGAGCGTACCATGCTTTTTAAATGTATGCGGGATATATGTCTCTCCTGCTGGGTAAAAGTCTTGTAAGAGGGGCTTTTAAAAGGTGTCTGAAATAATGCTATGAAGATTGCAGAGGGCGAACGGCTTGCATGGATCTCTAGGATGTCATAAGTAAAGCTTTTAGTTTGTGGCAAAATTGCACAAAAACTTCTAGACTATTCCTATTCAGAGTTCATGTGAGAGACAGATTCCTGCTGTTGAAAATATCACTACAGCGGGCTAAAGATACTCCTGTGTGGCCATATGATTTAGACTACAAGGTGAAAATCTTCTAGTGTTATTTCAAGCAGCTTCAAAACACCCAATATCTACAATTGTTCATGGCACAGACTATTCCGTTTTTCCTTCTGAAATGTCTAGGCTTATGGATAGCATGTCTGAAATGATCAAAACTGACCAAAACACTTACTGTTCAGAATCTTTGGGGGCATAAGGTGAATAAGAATTGAATTGGATTTTTAAGCTGAGATAGGAATATCTTAAGCTAGTCCAGGAAAAATTTGGATAAGGTTGTTTGCAGCTACCATAGTTTCTCACGTCAGGATTTCACATATGCGTTATATTTAATAAACATATTTATAGAGTATGCCACTAAGGTAAAGTGTCACAGGTTTAAAAACCTCCATTTTTCCTGCAAACTAGCTTTGCGTATAAGGGTTTGCCTTTATTGGTATGAAAGGGACACTCAGTGGTCACAAACCCACAGTGCTGTTTTCAGAGGGTCATTAATTTTTAAATCATACGTAAATAACCTTTCCTGTCTAGCAAGATTATGAGTAATCTATTCATTATCTCTCCCAGAAGTCAAAAGCTACGTCTATTATAAATTCTTCAAATGCACACAAGGGGTTTCAGGAGCCCACTGCCCCAACACCTGCACTTTGGAGGACAATTTTGTCCCTTGAAAAATTACCCTTCACCAGGGCAGCTGCTTTTTGAGACTGGAGCAGAATTTTTATAAATTTCATTTTTGAATTCCAGGGCCCCTTCTTACTCCTCTGAGAAGGCAATTAATGGTTGTCCAAAGAGGACATCTCAACTTTAATAGCTTTGCACCCACTCAAGTACAGTCCATAGGCACTTAATTTTCCTTTCAAATTATAAGATTTTGCAGAGAAGCAATATCACCCAGCTACAGTCTTTTGTTTCAGGCTGAAAAGCTCATTATGGGGCATCACTTGCAAATAAGGATCAAACACACACACACACACAGAGAGAGAGAGAGAGAGAGAGAGAGAGAGAGAGAGAGAGAGAGAGAGAGAGACTAATTTCAATATTTGCGGCTAATGGGAAAATGTAGCTTTCTTGGACTTCTCTGCTCCCAGCCCCATGCCATTAACAAACCCCTAGGATGCTTTGCCCCAAGTTAAGGAACAATGTAGAAAGGAAATTTAACAAGCGCAGAGTGAGTACATCCTAAAAGAGCAGAAAAACGAACTTAAAGAACAAAATGTTATCCCAGAAATGGCTCAAATTGATGGCCCGAGCAAGTTTCTTGATTATCTCCAAGCCAAAACCCAAATGCCAAAATCGAGTCACAGAATACCAGTAAAGTACTAGTTCCTGCAGAATATTAGTAAAGTACTAGTTTCTGCAAGCCTAAAATACGAGGTGGTGTCTTGCTTACTCCAATCAATCTATCGAGAAATTTTAGTCGCGGTACTTCCTGCAATGCCATTGAACCCTCCTCTTAACTCTAATATTTGATCTCCACATCAATGCATACACACACTCTCTCTCTGATCTTTGCTCTTTCACTCCCATGATTATGAAATGAAATTTGACCTATTTAAAATTTAAAATACATACATAAAGGCAGACACTGGGACTCGTCTTCCAGTACTTGATCATCCTTACGATCCAGGGTACTGTGTACTAAGTTTTAGGCCATCCAATACCTAGGAAAATCATACATTCCTAAGAACACTTCTACAGACCAATATCTACATAGAACTATTTGTATAACATTATTGTACAATCAAGAGAATAATGGCATCTTCCAAGTACTGACGTCTGAAATCTTAGCCAGGCCAGAAACCGAAGAATACTTACACTTTTGCTTTGTGCTTTTATTTTGCCTCCCCATTAGTGATTTTATTGCTTTTAGTTTTATATATAGTTTTTCGAGATAGGGTTTCTTTGTAGCTTTGGAGCCTGTCTTGGAACTAGCTCTTGTAGACCAGGTTGGCCTTGAACTCACAGAGATCTGCCTGCCTCTGCCTCCCGAGTGTCGGGATTAAACGTGTGCACCACCACCACCACCTGGCTTAGTTTTATTTATTATTCTTGTATATGTGCATGTGTGAGTATGCATGTCATGAAGCATGTATAGAGGTCTGAGGACAACTCTGTGGAGTCAGTTCTCTCCTTCCCCTTCTCAGGCCTTCCTAGGATCGAACTTAGGTCTCCAGGCTTTCACCACAAGCGGTTTTACCCACTGAGCCATCTCACCTGTCCCGGTTTTCTTTTTTCTTTAGTTACTTTTCTTTATTCTTCATTCCTCTCTTTTTTCCTTCCTCCTTCTTTCCTCTCTCTCTTTCTCCTCTCTCTCTCTCTCTCTCTCTCTCTCTCTCTCTCTCTCTCTCTCTCTCTCTCTCTCTCTCTCTCTCTGCAGTAAAGACATAATTCTTTGTGCCTAACCTGTTTGGAATAGCAGTAACCGAGACGAGACACAAGGTTAGTATCCTCACACCATAGTCAAAGAATCTGTACAGCGAAAGCTGTTCTTGTGCTGCTGAACATCAAACACAGAAGAATAAGATACATTGAAAATTGTACTTAGGTTTAGCTAGATGGCTTATCACTTCTGCTATGCTGTGCAGGTTGTCCCCAAGAGAACTGGCATCTAGAGGAAAGTAGGAAATTGGACTGACCACTGAAATGTGACAGAATAATAGAGAGAGAGAGAGAGAGAGAGAGAGAGAGAGAGAGAGAGAGAGAGAAAGCACAAAAAAATGTGGAAGTCCTCACAAGCCAAACGGAGGAGTGGTTTCTGGGAAATTATTTGCAGCGTTGATAAAGAGAGTCTAGGGTGACCCACAGCTTTGTTATTCAGCGCTGGGCCCTTGGCCTAGGAGAAACATCGGCAGTTCCAGGACACTTATCGTAAACGCGAAACTGGGACTACAGACGGCTCGGTTGATAAACCGCTTGCTCAACCAGCATGAGGACCTGAGTTCAAAGTCTCAGCACCCCGGTAAAAAGTCAGGCATGGCATGGCAGCACATACCTATAATCCCAGGATCCCCAAGAGACAAGGGGATCCATAGAGATTTCTGGCCAACTAGTTTAGATGAATCTTGGCATTCCAGGTTCAGTGAGAGATCCTGCCTCAAAAATAAGGTGCCAGGCTAGGCAATGGTATCATATCCCTTTAATCCCGACAGTCGGGAGACAGAGGCAGGTGGATCTCTGTGAGTTCAGGGCCAATCTAGGGTACACAACAAATTCCAGGCCAGTCAAGAGCACATTGTGAGACCCTGTCTCAATAAAAGAAACAAAAGTAGAGAGATGATTAAGAAAGACACTAAGTATCAAACTCTGACCTCCACAGAGGCACAAAAACACAGGAATGTACACACACACACACACACACACACACACACAAAACAGAATCTTAGTACCACCCAGAGCTACTGAATTTCAACCTGTATCTTAATGCTCCTTCGGGGAGTCTCATACCAAGGAAAGGCTTACAGTCTTGGGTTCAACTTCCCAAGATTGGATGGATGTTGTACTCTAAAATCTGCTGGTGTCCAGGCCCCACCCTAGAGATTTGAAATCAATTGCTGTAGCTGTCGTCCTAGACACCAGGACCTACAAGTGTTCCCTAAGTGACTCAAGTCCCATGCTTCCGCCTAACCTTCGGGAGAGCTCGGCATAGTGCCATTAAAAGCGGGAGTCTCCGGGAGTGTCTTTGAAAGAGAACCGACTGGTAAACAGTAGCTCTGTCCAGCGCCCTGCTGCATTTCCCATGAACATGCCAAGGGAAAGACTTGCTTGGGCTAATATTTAGCCAATATAAACATTATCTAATGGGGAGAACAGTTGGCGACCAGCAGCAGATGAACACAAAGGAAGCTCAGGTGAAAGTGGACCAAGCAATTCCTTACTCGGGAGGTGCCCAACAGGTGGGGAATTCTGGGAAAAGAAGGCAAGCTCTCAAGGCAAGTGAAAATACTGTAGGGAATCTCAGAGAAGAAGGGATAGTTTTAACCAAGTGCGTGCATTAAATTGTGACCTATCACTCAAGGGTACCAAAGGCAACCCCCAGCAGATACACCCTGAAGCTATAGTAGGAAAGTATTTAGGGTGGAAAGCTAGTCTTTTGGGTCCCTGAATTGAGTATAGAAAGTGTGTGATCTTCTTGCTCAGTTACTGAAATTTGCGTGGTCCTCCTCGAGCTCCTCTGTTTTCCTAAAGGCTGGGACTAGGACACAGCATCCCAGGCTGGCAGGAGCTTGCCCTCTGTTTTTGGGTACCTTCTTGCTTTTAACTTGTGCCCTGCCCTACTCTGTCCTCCCAGTGCTTAGCATGTGCGACTCCCACTTCAGCTCCTGTGACTTAGTTTTCTCAAATGGCATAGGAACAGGATCTGCTAATGGGATCTGAGGCTTTCCCCAAAGTCTCGTACCTGCCCTATGGGACACCTTCACCAAACAGCGGGCTTCCTTATCTTTCCCATTTCCTTTCCCTGCTCAGCCCTGTACTGTATCCAGCACCACAAAACCTCAGGACTTTGAGGCCCAGGGGTGGGGGAAAGTTGTTCCCATCTAGACTATCCAGGCTAGGTTTGCCGTCCTCTTCCTGATCCTCTCAGGCCCTCTGAGGGAG